CCACTAATCTACTTTCTGTCTATAGGTTTGTTTCCTTGTTCTGAACATTTCATATAAATGGAATCATATGTGTCTGTTATGACTGGCTTCTTTCACTTAGCATCATGTTTTCAAGGTTTATCTATGAGGTAGCATGTATCAGCACTTCATTCTTTTTTATGGCCAAATAATATTCCATGTATGGATATATGACATTTTGTTTATCTATTCATCAGTTAATGGACATTTGGTTTGTTTCCACCTTTTGGCTATTACCAATAATGCTGCTATAGACATTTGTTTGCAAGTTTTTGTATGGTCATATGTCATTTCTCTTGGAAATGGACATACCTAGAAATGGAATTGCTGGTCATATGGTAGCTCTGTGGTTAATCGTTTGAGGAACCGCCAGATTGAGAACATGCCCTTAATTGAAAAATTATACCTGTTTTTTGGAAAATTTTTTTTTTTTTTTTTTTAAAGATGACCGGTAAGGGGATCTTAACCCTCGACTTGGTGTCGTCAGCACCACGCTCAGCCAGTGAGCGAACCGGCCATCCCTATATGGGATCCGAACCCGTGGCCTTGGTGCCATCAGCACCGCACTCTCCCGAGTGAGCCACAGGACGGCCCAGAAAATGTTTTAAAAGACAGAAAATTTTGAAGATAAAAACATTTAATTACCTTTAATTCCATCACTTAATATCGTTGTAAAAAAAAATTTTTTTTTTCTAAAGATGACCAGTAAGGGGATCTTAACCCTTGACTTGGTGTTGTCAACACCACGCTCTCCCAAGTGAGCCATGGGCTGGCCCTAGAATATTTTTTTAATGAGACTACACTTATTATATTATTTTTTTTTTCCTTTTTGTCTTTTTTACTGACTGGTAACGGGATTGCAACCCTCGGTGTTGCGCCCGTACCGGGGACCAGCAACGGGATCGCAACCCTCGGTGTTGCGCCCGCACCGCGCTCAGCCAGTGAGTGGGCATCGGTCTCCACATGGGATCTGAACCCTCGGCGGGAGCGCCGCCGCGCTCCCAAGCAGCGCACTCTCCAGTGCGCCACCGGGCCGGCCCATTATATTATTTTGTAGTCCATATTATGAGCATCTTTTCATGTCAATAAGTATCTACATTAGTGAGTTTCTAACTTCTTTACTCTGGAAACCCTTTGTTCAGAAGAATATTTTCTGGGAGCCCAACGTAATAATGAACAATTACTTAGGGAGTCCTTGGCAGGTGTCAGTCCTTTTGCCCACCACCCATTCTCTTTAGAGGCTTCAGGTATTGCATAGTCCAGAGGAACCGCCTCCTCTATTGAAGAACAATAACTCAGTGAACATACATATGTGTGCACTTTTATCATCTCCTTAAGTTAAATCTCTAGAAGTGGGATATTGGGGTCAGAGGCCAACCTTGGGCTCAGGCCTATGCAAGGTTTTGGGAGATTGCAAGAAAAGTAAATGACTTAGTTTCTGTCCTTCAATAGCTCAGCCAACTTGAGGAGATGAGATTTGGGGAAGGGCAAAGGAGATTTCAATGCTTAATGCCATACCTTCCAGCAGTTCCTTCTTAGGAATTCATTTTATAGGTAGAAGGCACAGACAATTAAGGGCATACTTGCTGCATCATTGTACAAGCTGTTTACTTAAATATTCAGCATTAGGGCCTTGAGTAAACATATACCATTATAGTACTAATATGGATCTATCTCCAAGTAAAATGAAGAAAGGAAGGTGTAGAACAATGTTTCATATACTGTTTGTGGAAAACACTATATGCCTTTTTAAAACATAGGCATATATATGCTTGTAGACATATAGATCTGCACTGTCCAGTATGGTAGCCTGTAGCCCAATGTTGGCTATTGAGCATTTGAAATGTGGCAGGTGCAAATCGAGACGTTCTGTGAGTGTAAAATGCACACTGGATTTTGAAGCCGTGGCATTAAAAATGTACACTATCTCATTAATACTTTCTATATATATATATTTTTTTTTTTTTAAAAGATGACCGGTAAGGGGATCTTAACCCTTGACTTGGTGTTGTCAGCACCACGCTCACCCAGTGAGCAACCGGCCATCCCTATATGGGATCCGAACCTGTGGCCTTGGTGTTATCAGCACCACACTCTCCCGAGTGAGCCACAGGCCGGCCCAATACTTTCTATATTGATAACATGTCAAATGATAACATTTTGAATATGTTACATCAAATAAAATATTTAAAATAATTTCACCTGTTCCTTTCTATTTTTTCTTATTTTTTGGCAGCTGGCCAGTATGGGGATCTAAACCCTCGACCTTGGTGTTCTAACACTGAGCTCTAACCAACTGAGCTAACCTGCCAGCTCTTCTATTTTTTTTTTTTTCAACGTGATTACTAGAAAATTTTAAATTACATATATGGCTTGCATTTGTGCCTGCCATTATGTTTCTATTGGCTAGTTATAGACTATCCCAGAAGAATATGCAACAAATTTATAATAGTGGCTGCCTCTGAGGAGGGGTCCTAAAGGATTGTGTGAGGTAGAAGACCGGCTTTTCACTGCCTTTTTGTACCATTTGACTTTTCTCCTTTGTCTGAATTTTTGGTACCATGTATCAATTTTTTTGGGGGGGCGGTGGCTGGTCAGTACGGGGATCCAATCCTTGACTTGGTCTTGTCAGCACCATGCTCACCCAGTGAGCTAACCAGCCATCCCTATATGGGATCCGAACCTGTGGCCTTGGCATTATCAGCACCACACTCTTCCAAGTGAGCCATGGGCCGGCCCCATGTATCAATTTTTAAAAACCATTTTACGTGTCACAAGCCATAACAAAAAAGGCACCAGAAGAAAAAGTGCCACAAAGGAAATGCTGTGTGGGAACAGGGTTGGAGAAGCAAAAGGAATTATGGAAATGAGGTAATGTTTCCTCTTCTGCCAAAGCCCCCGTGTCACTCTAGGCTCCCTTAAACAAGCCTAGATGCTTGATGTTTACAGTCTCTGCACCGGGATGTTTGTTTCCTTGAGAAGATGGAGCTTCCAGTGGCCCACAAGTGTGGAAATTAGGAGCTGTACGAGTTAGTCCTCTTACTATGATTGTTGCAAATGTTTATTTTAACTTATTTTTATTGACTAGGTTTTTTTGTTTGTCTGAATTGAGCACATAATCTATGATGAATTGGCAAAGGGAGATTCAGGAAGAGAGAATTGATATGTGGGATGCACTGGAAGAACCCTTCTGTGGTCCTATCCCTCCCACCCTCCAGAGGCGACCTTCTGACCGTGGGATTTCAAGGAATTCAAGAGTGTAACTCCTCTGTCTTCCCCCTCTCCGCCCCCCGCAGAGATTTGTGTTGGGGGTGGGATACTGCTGTGTTGATTTTGAAAATGCAACCCTCGGGGCAGTTTGCCTTACAACGACACACCTCCCCTCCCCCTCCAGCACTAAGGGCAGGCGCAGCCTCCACTGTGCGTAGTGGCTGGAGGTCCGGAGCTTGACCCCTGACCCAGGGAGGATGAACCGGAAATTCAGACCTGCCCAGCTTGCAGCACAGGGCCTGGCACGGCACAGTATGTGGGCAAAATGTTGAGAGAAGGATAGATCACGGTTCCCACCTTGGTCACCCCTCTCTGGTGGGGCTGAGGTTTTCCTTTCCTCTTTCTCCTCACGTCCGCGGGCCCACCCATCCCCCTGCCACCAGGCTCTCCCTGTTGCCACCCCCACCCAGGGCACCTCGGGCCGGATGGTTGGGACTGCACGGGAAGGGGCGCGAGGCTGCACGCAGCTCCTGCCTTCCTGAACTGCGCCCCTCGCCCGACCGGAGGCTACCCGCTCCCTCGGGAGACAGGACGCAAAAGCTGCTCACCGCCCACTGGCTTTCGGGTGCAGCCATCCGGTCTCGTTCCAGGAAATCGGGGTGGGCTGAAAGGTGATTAGATAATTAGAAGATGCTCACTTTAATCTGATAACAAATTCAGCCTCCCTGGTCGTCAAAGAAACACCAATTAACCAACATGGTGCCATTTGCACCAAATTAGCTAGGCCATCAAGGGGCGTGATACTTGCATAACTGACACCCTCCTCGACTGCCCGCACAGAAACCCATGCCTAGTCTAACCGTTAGAACTTCCTCTGGGGCTGCTGAAGAAAATTGGGCCCCTTGGGGTCACGCCTAACCTGGGCCCCCCGGAAGTGCCCGTCAGTTCCGCGGCGGGCCCCGACCGCCTGCGCTGGGGGCTCAGCTTGCGAATTAGGCTTTGCGGCTGCTCGGTGTCGCCGTTGCGTGGGGAGGCTGCGGGGTCAGAGGCGCCCGAGAGCGAGCCAATCGTGGGCCCGCCACTTGCCCAAGGCCTTGAATGAGTTTGTGAACTTCTCCACGCCTCAACGTGCCCATCTGTAGAATGGGATAGCGAACGCAGCCCGCCCAGCACAGCTGTGTTAGGCAAACTTGTCGGAACCTCTCACGGTCCCTACTGGTGATCGAACGTAATGTTAAACCGCGGGGCTCCTTCTGAGGCCACCCCTGGGGTTGCTTCCTGCGGGGATGTGTAGCACCAAACCACGTCGGAGGAGGCGGAATTCGAGAGGCCAGGAACCTCGCGCTCGGGGGGCCAGTGGCGGGGGGAGCTGAGGGGATAAATCCCAGTTCCTCCGCCGCACCCAGAGCCTGGAAGTGCAGCCTCGGCGCCTCTCCCCGCGGGCCCCGCCCTCCGTCCCGCCCTCCTCGAACCCGCGCCCCCATTGGTGGCGTCCGGCGGCGCGGCCGCTGTTATTTTTCGAATATATAAGGAGGTGGAGGTGGCAGCTCCAAGTCGTCTTCCCGGACTGGTGCCGGAGCCCCGCGCCCCTCCGCCCCTCCCCATCCTCCCCGCATCCCTGGTCTCCCTCGTTCCCGGCCCCCTTGCTCTTCCTTCCTCCCTCCCTCCCTCCCTTCCTTCCCCCTACCCCGGGCCCGCTCCCTCCCTCGTCCCGGCCGGCTGTGCCGCCCTGCGCCCGGCCCTCCAGACAGCTTTCTGCCCGCCCCACCGCGATGGAGGTGCCCCAGTCGGAGCCCGCGCCGGACTCGGCTCTCGGTCCGGCCCGCGTGCGCGCTGGCGCCGAGCGTCCAGGCCATCTCCCGGGCCTCCGGCTCGCCTCGCATGGCTTCCTGGGGTCCCCGGAGCGCGCGGCCGCTTCCTCGCCGGTCACCACCCTCACCCGGACCATGCACGACCTCGCCGGACTTGGCAGGTAGGACACCCAGAGGAGGCTGGGCATGGGGTGAGAGGCACCAATTGGGGTCCTGGGCCTTCTGGAGAACTGGGCGTGGGAGCCGAACCCAGGAGGTGGAGTGGGGAGCGTCCCGGGCTGAGCAGAGAATGCCCTTGCCCCTGCTTCAGCGGCTGTGCGGCTCACATCCTCCAGGTGACCTGCTCTGGGTCGCACAAGCCTCTGGTTACCCTCCCCCCCCCCCCATTTTGCCTTCACCATGCTGCCTCCCTAATCTCTGCCCAAATCGCCACCATTTTGCCCCAGACAGAATCCCAAGCCTAGCGGGGGAACTTGAGGGTGGCAGAGCAGTGGAGTTCTCACAGGTCCATGCCCCTGCTCCCTCCACCCCCAGTTCTGCCCCAGGGTTAAGGCGATTAACCCTGCTCCCTAAGCTAGCCTGCTGGGCTCAGACTGGGTTGTCTCAGCAGTGATAAAGACCCAGGTCTCGGCCCTTCCTCCAGGAAAGCACGAGGATAGGTGGCGTTTAGAGAAGGGCTCTCCAGGGCTGCTCTGCTGCCCCACCAACCCCCAGGCAGGCCCCTAGCCCGGCCTCCTGGCTCTTGCCCTGGGCTCACCTCCCCGTGCACCTGGGAGGAACTTTCCTAAACCAATCAACAAAGAAAAGATCTTTTTTAGGGCTTCAGTAGAATGAGCTTGCTTTGACCTGAGACGAGAGTCTGCCCTTGGTGTGCTCACCTCCTTGGTGTAGGGTCTCTCTCAGTTCTTCCCATAGTGAGGGGGCTGACTCCCTGGGGCAGTGCAGAGGCTGGACGTGCCTTTCAGAGATGGGTGGTGGATGGGACCATGGGCCAGCCTGCCCTTGAGCCCCACATTTACCTTTCTTCTTTTCTGAGTCTCTGCTTCCTTCCCAGGGAGACCCCAAATAGTCAGGTAGGGAGCCTGCTTTTCCGCAGCGGGCTGACATGCCTATCCCTGTCCCGGAGGACATCTGAATCCTCCCTGTCGTCTGAGTCTTCTGAATCTTCTGATGCAGGTGAGGCTCAGGGGTGCCTGGGGAGGTCTGCCAGTGCCAGGAGAGTTTGGGGGCTGCCTGGGTCTCCCGACTTCCCTGCCAATCAGATTAACATCCTTTCTACAAACTGGTGGGCCCAGGAGCCCCCTCACTGCCCACAAAATTGGGAGGAAGACACACCTCTTGTGGGGATCACCACACCCAACCCAGAATGGCTGAGCTGGTGGGAGGGTGAGATCTCAGCTATTTAAAACCAGGCCCCAAAGTCCATAGATCACCGCCCCACCCGGGAGACACTATGGCTGAAAGCTGGTTTTTTAAGAACACCCTTAGTTGAACTTCTCCTTTATAAAGCCATTGTCTCTTTTTAGAACAAATTGTTTTAAACCAGTTCAAGAAAAATGCTTAGCAAGAGTTGTGGTTTAAAAACGTGTACAGAGGAGTTTCCATAGTAAATAGAGTAGAGCCCTGGCCATTGGGGTACAAATGTGTCAGCCTTCAGGGTCCATGGGTAGGTTTTTGTTTCATTTTTAAAGGTATTGAAATCCAGAATAGAAACAGGTTTCTGTTTGTTTGTTTTTTCCTTTCTTGGGACGTGGTGGGAGAAAGTATACAGAAAATGCCTTTACTAGGGCCGGCCCGTGGCTCACTGGGGAGAGTGTGGTGCTGATAACACCAAGGCCATGGGTTTGGATCCCTATGTAGGGATGGCTGGTTAGCTCACTTGGGAGAGTGTGGTGCTGACAACACCAAGTCAAGGGTTAAGATCCCCTTACCAGTCATCTTAAAAAAAAAAAATGCCATTACTGTCAAACCAAGGCACTGTGTCCCCCCAGGTCTCTGCATGGATTCCCCCAGCCCTATGGACTCCCAGATGGCAGAGCAGACGTGAGTAGAGAAGGGGGAAGCCCTACTCCCAAGGAGTCGGCACCTGCCCTTGGGAATCCTACTTTTAGCATAAACTCACCTGGGAAAGTGGACAGACCCCTCAGGATCCCCATGTGGGGGACTCATTGACCTTCCTAATCCTTGTGATTCTGCTCCCTGTCTCAGAGAGGGTCTGCTCTCATTGGAAGCCAACTGAGAGTGGGCTCAGGGCCAGGGTGGTGGCGACAGTGGGCACTTGACTCTCAGTGGCCCTTGTCTTGCAGGAATACAAGCCCAGTATATGTCCCTTTTCTTTTTTGCCTATACACATTTTTTTCTGTGAAATACCACAATTTTTAAAAAATCACAATTTAAAAATACAGTTCAACAAATGCAAAACTTTAACTTGTTCTAGGCAAAACAAAACGTAGTTGCCTGCGGACTGGTTTGGCCCTTGCCCATCAGCAACCTCCAACCCCTGGACCAGACCCTTGTGAGAGGGAGAGGAGGGGGAGCTGATGGACTCCACTCTGGACAGACACCTCCCCCTAGGTTGTGGGGCATGGGTAGCACCTTCCAGAGCATAGCTGTTCCCATCCAGCTGTTAAGGCCCAAGCAGGGGGAGCACTGCCAGCCATTAGTAGGGACAGCTGGGCATCTCCAGCCTGGTCTGGGGGACTGTGGCTTTGGGTTTAGGGCGGTGACTGTCTTTCCTCCCATTGCCTTTGATCAAACTGGGTTGGGCTGCAGGGTTTGTTCACAAACAGGAAACGGGAAGAATTGGGGGGAGGGGAAACTGCAGGGTGGTTTTTGGTGGCACATAGACTTGTCCTTGCCTTACCCCCAAGGCCCAGGTGTAGATTGGAAACCAAGCCAATGAAATTGGTCATCCCTGATGCCAGGTTGGCTGGGGGAGGGAGGGGCATCCCCCTGACACTTAAGCCCTGAATGTCCCCCCACTTCTGCACCTGCTTTGACGGTTACAATTTCTCAGAAAGAAGTTGGTGTGTGTGTATGTGTGTGTGTGCACGCATGCATAGATGCACAAAAAGCTTCATGTGGCAGGTGGTCTCTGATAAATAGCTGGGGGGCGGGCAGAGCCCATATACAGAAGCTTATGGAACATCTGTTGGAATTCCTTGCCTGCTGGTCTCTTCTAAGGCAGGAGGAGGGGGTCCTGGAAAATTCCAGAGGAGGGAGGAGAGGATGTGACCCTGCACATTTGTCACTAGGGGGTCTGCTGTGGCAGACTGGGGTTGATCCAGGGGAGCACTAAAACAGGTCCCTGGCCTGGGGGGAGCCAGGCCAGCTCTTTACAAGGGGAGGGACAAAGGCCCTGGAGACACCCACATTGCTGAGTGACCATAGTCTGTCACCACAAGATGGATGGATGCCTTTCCTGGTGGCCATATGGTCCCACTGAGGTGATTTGCATACAGGTGGAAGGCCTGCATGCAGGCTGGCGAGACTGTTGCCTTGGTGATGCCTCAACAACCTGCGACCTGCTCCAGCTGCCTCCATCGCTGCCATTCTCTGGGCCCTCTGCCATTCATGGCAGCCTTTAAAATCCCAGGCTGCCTCCCATCTCCTCCCTCCCCAATACCTGGACCCCACTGTTGGTGGGCTTTCTTCCAGCCCCTCCCCTTCCACTGGCCTGAGCTCTGGCCCCTGGGCCTTATGGACTGGGGATCTGGCGTTGTGTGGGTGACGGGCTGCATGGGACCCTTCTCTCTCCTAGGTTTGAACAGGCCATCCAGGCAGTCAGCCGGGTCGTTCGGAAGTAAGTGCTCTGGGCCTTCTCTATCCACCACAGGATTTCCCCAGGGGTGTTTAGGGCTCCGGTGGAGGGGCATCCTGCCTGCTGTCAGTCCCTGCCCCTGACTTTCCTGGCCCTGAACCGTCCCTGTCTCCTTCTGCAGCGAGCAGTTTGCCATCAGACGCTTCCAGTCCATGCCTGTGAGTGTCCTCCGAGACCTGCTGGCCAGGCATGGGGAGGGGCAGGAGGCACCCCTGGTTCACCAACCAGAGGGTGGGCTTGACACAGCAGGGTGTCCTGAGTCTGGCTGCTCAGAGATGGATGGGCAAGCTGAAAGAGTTGGAGGAGGGGTGGGAGAAGATAGGGCCCAGGCTGGGCCAGAGGAATGCAGCCTTCAGTCCCTGCTGCCCTTCCTGGCTCTCTAGGTGAGGCTCCTGGGCCACAGCCCTGTGCTGCGAAACATCACCAACTCCCAAGTGACGCCAGACAGGTGGAGGAAGAGCGAGGCTGGTGGCAGAGCAGACAGCAGCTCTGGGGAGGACAAAGAGAATGTGCGTTTCCGGAAGGGCAGGGTGGGAGAGCTCCAGGGGAAGAAGGGGGCAGGCTGGGGTGGTTCTCTGGCACTGGATGACACCTCTTCTCCCATCTTGCCTGCAGGATGGATTTGTCTTCAAGATGCCATGGAACCCCACACACCCGAGCCCTGCCCATGCTCTGGCAGAGTGGACCAGCCGCAGAGAAGCCTTTGCACAGAGGCCGAGCTCGGCCCCCGATCTGATGGTACATCAGGAGAGTGACCCCTTGTGGGGCCCTTGGGAGGCAGCCTGGGGGGAGGGGAGGGTGATCCAGAGCTCCCAGGCACTGGTGACCTTTCTTCTGAAGGATGGGAGTGGGGACTGCCTCTGGTCCCCACCCCTGAGTAGGCTGTGTCTGTTCGTCACTCAAACAGTGTCTCACCCCGGAGCGGAAGATGGAAGTAAAGGAGCTGAGCCCCCTGGCCCGATGCCGTTTGTCCCGGACCCCCACTGAGGGGGCTACTGAGGAAGATGATGGATTTGTGGATGTCCTGGAGAGTGACTTAAAGGTAAACAGCCTTGCCACGCCAGGCCCCTCCCTCCTCCTCCCTGGGATCTTCCAAAAGAAGAGAGCTCTGAGCCCCTGCAGCAAGACTATGGCCTGATTCCAATGTCAGAAGAAGAATTTGAGGTAACTGAGTCAAGCCTGACCTCTGGCCAGTCAGAGAAAAGTGGGTGGCTGGTGCCACAGTAGAGGGCGGATGGGCAGGCTGGGGGAGCTCCTCGCTGCTCATTGCGGGCCCCAGCAGTGAGTGGGTCCCTGCAGCGAGTGGCCCTCGGGCTGCCCTATGTGGCAGAGCTGCTGGCCTGGGGTTTGCTGGGAGAAGAGGAAGAGCTGCACTGGAGGATTCGGGAAGGAGGGTTTGGCCTGTGCCTGTGGGTGTGACCATATCCTTGCTGATTTGGCCTCAGGATGACGATGCGGTACCCCCGGGCATGGAGAGCCTCATTAGCGCCCCACTGGTCAAGACCTTGGAAAAGGATCAGGTGGACCTCTGGGGTGGCTCTCCTCAGAATTTGGAGGGGTGGGTCCCTACCCTCCAGGTGGAATTGAGGGGTGGGGTGGGGGCTGAGCACTCTGACCTCTGACTTGCTGTCCCTGCCAGGACCTCATCATGTACAGCAAGTGCCAGCGGCTCTTCCGCTCTCCATCCATGCCCTGCAGTGTGATCCGGCCCATCCTCAAGAGGCTGGAGCGGCCCCAGGACCGGGACATGCCGGTACAGAACAAGCGGAGGAGGAGCGTGACCCCTCCGGAGGAGCATCGGGAGCCTGAGGAACCTGTGAGTACCATCCTCCTGGGCCGGGGCTGTTGCTGCCCACTTGGCAGATGTGCCGGGGCTGCCACCTTCTTGGCCAGGTTGGTGGCAGAGGGTAGGGGGCAGGTGGCAGCCTGGGCGTGGCAGGGAAAGAGGGTACTAGCTAGACAGGGCCCTGAGGGTTAGCCTCACCCTCACCCTGACCCTGGCCTCCATTTGCCTCATCTCCCAGAAAGTCCGTGTCCTCCGTTCAAAGTCCCTGTGTCATGATGAGATCGAGAACATATTGGACAGCGACCACCGAGAACTGATTGGAGATTACTCCAAGGTACTAGCTGGTGGGGGCCCCTCAGGAAGCTCAACCTCTTACCAATGGTGACAAGAGAATCAACCCCTAACCCCAGAGCTGCTCGGTTTCCCCCCTCTCCCCACAGTCCCGTTTTCTTGGTCCTTTGTAGCTTTTCATCCTTTATTCTCACGTCACCTCATTCCTCTGGCTCCCCTTGGTCTCCTGACTCTACCTCAAGTCTACCCAGGCATCCATTGTATCTCAACCTTGGAAAACATTTCCAGACTAGTGTCTGGCTTGGAACTACCTCATGCCTCACCCCTGGGCATGGCAGAGTGTAGGAGGCAGAGGCAGAAAGTTCATCTCTTCTGTACTTCCCCAGGGAAGGTTGTTCCCTGGGTATCAGGCCCAAGGGGCACCTCTTTGTTGCTATGGGAACCAGAGTCAAAAAAAATTTTTTTTTTTTAAAGATGACCGGTAAGGGGATCTTAACCCTTGGCTTGGTGTTGTCAGCACCACGTTCAGCCAGTGAGCGAACCGGCCATCCCTATATGGGATCCGAACCCGGGGCCTTGGTGTTATCAGCACCGCACTCTCCCAAGTGAGCCACGGGCCGGCCCCAGAGTCGAATTTGAAGGCCAAAGCAGATGTGGCCTCTGGACTTGGGAACAGAACACCATCCTTTCCAGGCTCCTATTCTAGTCTTACACTTTCACTTTCTCCTCTCTGTCTCTCTCTCGCTCTCATCCCTCCCCTTCAGGCTTTCCTCCTACAGACTGTGGACGGAAAACACCAAGACCTCAAGTATATCTCACCAGAAACGGTAAGCAGGGCTGAGCCATTTTCCAGGTGCGTTTGGGACCGCCGTTGGGCTGTCAGCCTTCCCTGGGGATGTGCTGGTACTGCACCCACAAGGCCAGTGGAAGGGATAAGAACAGACCCTGGCTGCCAGCCTGACCTGCTAGGACCCATCCCCATGACCTCCTACAGATGGTGGCCCTGTTGATGGGCAAGTTCAGCAACATCGTGGAGAAGTTTGTGATTGTAGACTGCAGATACCCGTATGAGTATGAAGGCGGGCACATCAAGGTGAGGCAGGGTGATGGAGACAGGCCCTGAAGTCCCCCTCTTTCAAGTCTTTTCTCTGCTGAGAGGATGAATTGGTGGAGGGTGGGTGCCTCTTCTCATGGGAGGGATCCTGCCCAGCAAGAGGTGGGGTCAGCTGTCTGAAAGATGGCAACTGCAAAGGGGAAGGGTGTGCCTCTCTGGCCCAGGGCTGTGGCCTGACCGCCAGCTCCTCTGATAGACTGCCGTGAACTTGCCCTTGGAACGAGATGCTGAGAACTTCCTGCTGCAGAGCCCCATCACTGCCCATAGCCTAGACAAGAGAATCATCCTCATCTTCCACTGTGAATTCTCATCCGAGCGTGGGCCCCGCATGTGAGTCCAGCTCTGCCCAGCCAACAGTGTGTGCACCTGGCCGTCCCTGCCCAGACCTGTGGGTGCTGGAGCCACTGGGATGGCCGAACCCAGACCCTCCTTAGCCTGCGCCTCTTGCCTCATCTGGTGGTCTGGAGCTGACCTCACCCCCGCTTCACTGTGCATGGCACCCACCACCCCCTCAAAATCTGGTTCCAAGTCTCCAGCAGGATCCTTCTCAAATTCCAAGGGCCCTGTCCCAGTCTTCAGTGACATTGACCCTCCTGGTGTTTGATGCTGTTAGGTCCCCATTGGAACACTGTGTCCTTGGTGTCCGCAGCACCTTGGATGAGCTCCTTCTCCTAAGTCCCTTCTGTCTCCGTTCATGCTCTGCCATGGCTGTCTGTCCTCCCCTGCTTCCTCTCCCAGGGTTCCTCCCAGTCCATTTGATTGCTTGTGCTCTCCAGCCCAGCCTCACATGTGTTCTGGGCCCTGCACCCAGACACCCAGCCAGAGTCATCATTCCTGCTGCCCTCCCTCTGCTCCAGGGTTCCCACTCATGGCACCCACCTCCATCTGGGCACTGGGACCAGTCACTGGGCTTTGGTCTTCCTCTTTTCCTCTCCCCACCTCTAGTCCTTGCCAGGTCTTGTCTGGGAGACCTCCTGAATGCATCTCTTGAATTGTGTCCACTTGTCTTCTCTCCTGCTACCTCTTTCCTGGTCCAGGCCACAGATATCTCTAACAAAGGTTGTGCAAATGCCTTCTAGAAACAGAGTGCTCACCCCCTTGATTTATCTCCTACTTTCCATTTCCAACCTCTTCTGTACCCAGTAGCCAGACTGATGTTCTAAAAATGTTCTTGTGGATGACATTCCTGTGCTCAAGAGCCTTCTGTGGCTCCTTAAGGCCCTCAAATGGGAGGGTACAGGGAACAGGTCCCTGATGTGCACCCCACCACATGCCCAGTTCTGACCACCGCTCCCCCATACTTGTCCAGGTGCCGTTTCATTCGGGAACGAGACCGTGCTGCCAACGACTACCCCAGCCTCTACTATCCGGAGATGTACATCCTCAAAGGCGGCTACAAGGAGTTCTTCCCACAGCACCCGGTACCATGGGTGGGGGTGGCCACAGTCTCCATGTGAGGGTTGGACCTCAGGGAAAGGGGTCAGCCAGGCTGTGGCCCTAGGAGAAGGAAGGGCTCGGTCCCCCCCATTCCCCTGTAGTGATGAAGGTTACCCATTCCCCCATATTGGTGGACCCCTCCCATCCCACCCTAGAGCTTCTGTGAGCCCCAGGACTACCGGCCCATGAACCACGAGGCCTTCAAGGACGAGCTGAAGACCTTCCGCCTGAAGACACGCAGCTGGGCGGGGGAGCGGAGCCGGCGGGAGCTCTGTAGCCGGCTGCAGGACCAGTGAAGGGCCAGCTCAGTCCTGCCACCTTCCTGGCCTTGTAGGGCCTGGGTGCCAACTGCCCTGTGGGCCTGCAGGGCTGAGGGCCTGCTGGAGGGCCCAGGTGCTGTCCAGGGGGAAAACGGCATGGGTGTCCTGTCTGTCTTCCTCTAGCCCTGATTCCCCTGTCTCAGTCCAGTCATATTCCATATTCTGGTGCCACCCCCACCCCCAGAAGAAAGCAGCCTGTTGAGTTAGTTAAGTTGGGTTAATACCCCCTTAAAGGCAGTGTTTTGTGTCCAGCAGGAGCCTTTTTTTCTTCTTCCTTGTTTGGATTAACCGTCTGTCTTCCTGTATCCAAAAATGCCCCTTTGTGTGTATATCAGCTGAGGCTGGGGGAGAGCCATGGCCCCTGAGGATGGGTTAGAGCTGAGCACCTCCCTGGCCTGGGAGTCAGCATTCTGCACCTGTGCACGTCTCCGAGCCCCCTGCCCCACCTGCAAGAATCATGAGTGTGTCTGCCATGTCACTCCTTTCTCTTTTCCTTGTTCCTGTCTCTCCCTACAAGCACCTCCAGCATAAACATAAGCTCTTCCTCTTTCCTGGTTCAGTGTTTACCTGCATGCTTGATTTGTTTGTCTGACTTTTGCCTGGCTCAGGGCACATTCACAGGCTATTTAGGCTCCCCCTGTCCAGTTGGGGTTAGAGACTCAAAAATTCATTACCCACGTGGCTCCAGCTTTTGTTGCCCTAGAAAGGGATGTTATTATCCTTGGGGTCCCCAGGGCAAGGGCTAAGGCCTGAATCATGAGCCCCCTGGAAGCCCAGCCCCCACTGCTATGAACCCTGGGGCCTGACTGGTAAGAATCTGCTGCTGTCTTGTCGTGGGTGGCCAGAAGGACGGATGGCCATGGACGTGCAGTACCTTGCACACGTGTGCTCAAACTGAGAGGAAGCATTCTGGTGAGCATAACAGCCTGCGGCAGGAATATATGTGTATCTGTGCAGACAGAAATCCTGTAAGGTTTGGAAATACTCAAGAAGAAATGTCATGGAAGCAGCTAAGCCAAGGACGCAGCTAAGCCAAGGACCGAGCAACCTCTGCATTCTGAACCTCAAGATGTGGGAAGGGCTGTCCTGGAAGGTGCTGATGAGTCATCTGTTAGGGCCTTGGTTCAATAAAGCACTGAGCAAGTTGAGTAACCGGCATGTGTGCTGTGGGCCCTTGACAAGACCACAGCAGACCCTGTGGGATTGGGGTGGGCCAGGTCAGCAGAGGCTGGAAGACTTCCTGGGTAGCTGACCTCATGCTCTCTTCCCTATTCTCCTGAAGTCTTCCATCTCTCGGAAGCTACTCCTGCCAGGACTTTAGACTCAGCACCTCCTTTCCCTACCCAGGCTCTTCTGTGTTTCCCCTTTCTAAACTCCACCAAAAGGCAAGAGTGGCCCCATCATTCCTCAAGGATTGTCAATGGCTCCCCATGGCCATCAGGATAATCTTTTTTTTTTTTTTTTTTTTTTATAAAAA